TCTCTGGTTTCCTTTCCAGGTTGTGAAAAGGATACGTTGATTGATATTCTAACACAGCGTTGCAATGCACAAAGACTTATGATTGCAGAGGCTTACAGAAACATGTATGGGAGGGTATGTATTTGAACTTTTTTGCACTTGTAACTCCGCTATATGTGTTGGTGTTTTCTTCAGGTCATTTCCTGAAACTAAATTTCAGCCATACAAATGTATTGCCACAGGACAGACACTGCACAAACCAGGACACAATCATTTCATTCATAGAACAATTAATACAACTAATGATTTTATATCATCGTTTGCCACCCATATGGTAGCAGAATTTAAACACCCTTGTTTAGACATAAAGAACAAAGAATGAAGTAAAATGGAAAGTTTATTTTCCCATTGTTCTTTCACGTTGTTCCTCAATAACATTGCACACAGTTTTAGGAATTATTGCTGTTTCTTTCTCTGCCATTAACCCAAACCACTCACATACATTTTTTGTGCTGTATCATATTTTTAAGGTAGTCTTTGGAAGCATGCAAATAGAAAGGAGTATGGCCCATTGTATAAAGTATCAGGTTTGTTCTTACAGCCATGGGCAACTGGATCCTCTTGAGTCTGGGGGGCACATGTCCCCCTAGCAACCAGTCAGCGACCAGAGGAGGGGGTCCCCTCGTGGCCGATCGCATAGACAGAGGGGTTCTCCCATGGTCAATCTCACTCACCAAAAAGTGGCTGTAGCACTTCAGGAGGAGCCGTGGGACTTCCAGAAGTGGCTGCAGCTGCTTCTGCTAGCAGCCCCACTCCCCGGCCAGCGTTCATGCACCACCTGGGAGCATGGTTGCTTCACCTGGTGGCCCTGCTCCCTGGCCAATGCTCACGGGGGGGGCACCAGCACTCCCGCCTGCCACCCCTGTCTGTTGCCTAAGTGGCAAATGCAATCATCAGGGGGTGCACCAGTGCTCTCAGGGGGTGCATGTACACCCCTGTGTACCCCCTACACATCACCGCTGCTTACAGCTGCCATATATTCTCTTGCCTCCATTCTGCCACTGACTAATTTTGTGATGTCCAGGCATTTCACTTAAGCTGCCTGTGCCTCAAGTCACTATCTGTACTCTGGAAATAATCACTATCTGAAAAAGGTATAAGGATGTTTAATTATTCCATGTACAGTGCTACAGAATTTGAGACATATCAAAGTTCTCACTTTCAGAAATGATGTGTCAACCACCAGTTTCTACACTGTCATATGAGTTTTCTTTTCATGTATGAGAGCCAGAAGCCTGGTAGCTTAGAATACTGGCCAAATACTGTATTTACTCACATATCACATGCACCTTTTAACCCCAAATCAGCCTCCATTACATAATTAGGGTCTTAAACTAGGGGGCTGATGCTCTAGCCAGAATAGAAGTACCCTGCTATGATTCCTGCTCCACATTGCAGCAGCAGTAGCATTGCCATTCAGCCATCTGAAGGAATGAATTACCCTAATGGCTCATTGTTCTTCACTCCACAGACATTAATTATTGTCTCTCCTTTTTAGAAGTCTTGGTTTTCCACTAATCAGACTAACCTTTCTTAGGGTTATTTTGCTGCCCACTAGTTGCTTTTGATCTCCCTTTTCCTATTTCACTGCCCTAGACATTCTTTAACTCTTTTCAAAATCATAGATCCACCCATGCAAACCAGTATTCAGCAACAGCTAGTGTTTCAGGCTGTGTATAGATGAAACAAGGGGCATGTGTGCACGACACTTTAAAACGGGTGAAATACTTTTGCATTACTTTAATGGTGTCGGTGTTTGCATGCCTCAGCAGCATATTGCACATTAATTCCAGCTGCTCTAGGAAATTTGGCAGTGTAATGCACCTTCAATGACTTGGGGCACAGCAAACTAAAACTCCTCTGAGGAGTTTTAGTTTGCTGCCCCTACAGCCATGGAGTGAAGCACTGGGCTCTGTGCAGCTCTGCGGCTCTGCAGGAAGCCCTCTAGGCAGCCTGGCGGCAGCCTGGGAAAGCAGCCTCTGCCCAAGACAAGTGGTGAGCCTAATCATTTTTTTTTTTCTCCTGGAGCCTGCTTGCCTGCCTGCACTGTGCATGGGCCCAGTGCTTCCCTGGGACTGCCCAAGTTGGGTGCCTGAGGGCAGGTGCTGTTTTTGGGGGGTGGGCTGTCACTGCTGCAAAGGGAAGCATCAGCCCCCCCCCACAACCCAGGGACTGCTCCGCCCACCGGCAGCTTGCCCTCCCCTTCCCACTGGAGAGGCAGGTAAGTCAGCGGGGTGTGTGAATGACACAGTGGTTTAATCAGCCCTAAATTGAAGCAGTGTTTTTTAAAACCCAACACTGGGTTTAGGGCCCCCGTTTCATCTACAAATGCCCTCAGCTTTTAGTTAAGAAGGAAAGGGAAAGTGGCTCAGCAGAAGATTAGACTCTGTCCCTGCTATAGACCGCCATATCTCTCAAAACAAATATTTGTTTTCTTTATTTTGCCTTTTCAAAAAAAAAGGTGAATATCTTATTTGAGGTCATGATATACACAAGAAAATAAAGCACTAATTTTACAATCCATTTACTTTTAGAAAAATCATATATATATATAGAGAGAGAGAGAGAGAGAATCTCAGCAATCCCTCAGAGTCAAGAATGATTGCCTTCTATGACAGCTGATCCAGGATTGACTGACTGTTGCAATTCAGGCACATGTTTCCATGCTGGGTGGGTAGATCTGTATTTTTATTCAGTCTGCAACACATTGTTTCTGCCACTCCCACTTTTCCATCTTCTGTTGTCATCATAAGGCTTCAAAGTACTGAGATCCTTGCAGAAATCTTTCCCTCTATTTGGGGCAGTCCTGGCCAATAGTCTCCCACGAATTGATGACAACATCACATTTTTTCAAATCGGCCTTAAGAACATCCTTGAAGCAGTTTTTCTGCCCTCCTCTTGAGTGTATGCCTTGACTGAGCTGAGAGAATAAAACTTGCTTTGGGAGTCTAGAGTCAGATATCTGTATGATGTGGTTAGCCCTGTGAAATTGATCTTGGATGTTCATCACTTCAATGTCCATGTTCTTTACTTGCATGAGGATGCTAATATTGCTATGTCTGTCTTCCGACTGGATTCAACGGAACTTCCTCAGGCAGCATTGATGGTACTTCTGCAGTGACTTCAGGTGTCTCAAGTGGATGTTGACCACATCTCAGCTCTGCACAGTAAGCTGGAGTTCATGTCTGCTTGATAAACCATGAGTCTGGTTTTGGATCTGATGTTGCAATCTTCAAACCCCCATTTCTTCAGGTGTCTGAAGGTTGCACTTGCACTTTTAAGGTGATGTTGCCATTCTTTATTGATGACAGCCTTCTACAAGAGATGGGTTCTGAGGTATAGGAAATATTCAATGTTCTTCTGGCTAAACTGGAGACTGGGACTGCTCATTAAGAGCTTGTTGATGGAGGACCTTAGTCTTCTGAATGTTAAGCATCTTGTTGTATGCCTCAGTAAAGACTTCAATGATTGCCTGAAGGTCTGCTTACAAGTGAGCACACACTACAGCATCATCAGTGTAATGGAGCTCAATGATTGAGGTTGGGGTAGTCTTGGTTTTGGCTCAAAGTCAGCTAAGATTAAACAGTTTACCATCCATTCAGTAGTTTAGCTCTACTGACTGGAAGCTTGTTGGTGGTCAGACATAGCATCGCAGTAAGGAATATCAAGTGTTGGAATGATGACACAGCCTTGCTTCAAGATCTGTGATAGATCTGTTACTGCTCACATACCATCCTGGAGCAGGCAAAGAATAGTGATGAATTCAAGTGGGCATCCATACTTCAGAAGGATCTTCCACAGAGCTTCTTGGCTGATAAAGTCAAAGGTTTTCATGAAGTCAAATAAGGCCATGTAGAGAGGTTTATATTGTTCCCAGCATTTTTCCTGCAGCTGGTAAGCAGTGAAGCTCATATCAGTTGTGCCTCTTGATGCCTTAAACCCACACTAGGATTACAGGAGGAACTCTTCAGCAAGTGGAAGGAGAGGATTCAAGGGGTTCCTCACAGTGATCTTTTCTGTGGTGGACAGCAAGGTGATACCTCTGTAATTTCTACCATTGGATTTGTCTTCCTTCTTTAAGATTGTTATGATCATGGCATCCTTGAGATCATCTGGGATTTCATCCTCATTCTAGATCCTTAAGATGAAGCCATGGAGCTGTTATGTGAGCTCCCCTCCCCATTGCTTGAAGGTTTCAGTGGAGATTCCATCAGCTCCAGATGCCTTGTCATTCTTCATCTGCTTAACAGCTTTCCTCACCTCATCAAGTGTTAGAGGGATTCCAAGAACATTTTTTACTGGATGTTGTGGGATAGAGTTGAGAGCACTCTTGTAAACAACAGTCTTGATTGAGAAGGTCTTCAAAATGTTCCTTCCAACAGGTGTTGATGGTTCCTCTTTCCTTGGCCATGTCTTCTCCATCCTTAGGTCTGAAGGGGGTTGGCCCCTCAGTGCTCAGACCATAGATGGTTTGGTGGCACTGAAAAAACCATGTCATGGATGTCAGCGAGATGTTGAATCACCTTCAGCTTGTCTTCCCACTATCTGTTTTTCATATCACAGGTCCTCCTTTCGACCTCTGCCTTGGCTTGTTGGTGATTCAATTTCTCTTGCTAGGAGTTGATGTCATTCTGCCAAGCACAAAAGGCCTTGTTCTTGCAGTCAATCAACTCTTGGATCTCCCAGTCATTCTCACCTAACCAGTCTTGATGTTTCCTGGTAGAGAATTCAAGTGTCTCTTCACAGGCACTGGATTGGTGGATTTGAAGGCTCTGCCAACATCCTCCCAAGGTTATTGATTAGAATTCACCAGTTTTTCATTAAGGCACTGGTGAAAGAGGTGTCACATGATTAGGTCCTTGAGTCCTTTGATGTTGATCTTTCATCAGCATTGCTTCTGCTGCAGCCGTCATTTGGGAGCCAGTTGGAATGACATAATCGAGTGGATGAGTCGGTGATTGGTCCAGCATTTGTTAGCTCATAGTATTCCTCTACCACAAGAACAACAGCAGTCTGTATATGTAAAAAAGAAAGGCAATGTCTCCTACTGGTTGCACACTGAACTATATACCTGTATTCAATTTCCAGCTCTGCTGCTGGCTAACTGGGCAAATCACTTAACTGTCTGTACCTCATTTTTCCTCTCTTGACATTTATTTAGGCTACAAAACCCACCTATATTCCCAGAGTTTGGAGGAATGAGGGTTGGTATTTAGAGAAATAAAGCAGTACTCTTTGGTCTTGATTTTAATATTCAGTTGGTTATTTTCCAGCGTGTGGGGAATGAGAGGTAGCTATTTTTGCTAGCATTATTGTATTTTTTAAAAGGTCATAAATACAGAGCCTCAGATAGATATATTTTGTGTTATTTCCAAAAAACAATGTTAACATAGCTAATCTCACCTTTTTGTGTTTTTGTTATTCTAGTGACTTATCATTGAAATCAGTATGCATATAAGTGGTATTACCTGAAGTGTTAAGTGGATCCCATTACCATATTATGTAGGCACCTCATAATTAAAATGTATGTAGGAGGTAGAGAAGTGCTATAGCTTCTTTTTACAAATGGGTGTCCCGGGGGGATGAACCAAGCCCCAGTGTCACGATGGGCCGGGGTGGCAATTGAACACGGAAACAGGCCGGGATTGTCAGGCGAGGAGAATTGAGACTTGTGAATTGTTCTTGGTTCCAAATTAACACGGGTTTTATTCAACTTACGCTTTGTAGGCGTAGGTGATGATTCTTCGGTTACAGTCTTTGAATACAAACACAATACAAAGGGGTCTGTTGGCCCACAGGGTTCCCCAACAAGC